TGCAAATGAAGTTGAAAATTAATGAAAAATGGATTTTAAAGGTGCCTAGGGGTATTTTTAATTTTTTTTTAAAAAGGTAAGAAAATATAAAAATGAGTATTAATGGCCAAAACAATTTATAATCTTTACTATAATGTAAAGAATATTAAACAATGTATTACAAATCAAATTCTTTATTTTTGGGATTTTATATATATTTTTGTGATTTGTTTTTAACATGCTGGTCAATCACCAAAACTGCCCTAAACCGTCTAACCGAGTGGTTACCGGTTAGATCGCCCTGTTTTTCTAACATGGTGACCTATTACTTCCTCTCACGGTAAACGTTAAAGGCCTACACGACCAATTCCCTTTTTTTTTATTATAAAGGGTGCATTTTACATAGAGCCGAGGCTCTAGACAATCAAAGTAAAGCACACTTTCAAATAGTCGAGAAATATAGTTTCAATACTAGAAATCTTTCTGATAGCCTCAAAATATATTTTGATCTTTAATTATAAAATTTGATACGTCAAAAATAGTGTATGTAGAGCAGATGTATAGAAACCTTGAAAATTGACAGTCCAAAAATGTGCTACAAGATGTAATATTTCCAAAACTTGAATCTATTTTTCTCTCATATCCATGCATCTTAATGTTGAGATGATCAATCTGAGGATATTTGGGCATCATAACAACCTCTTTTAGTCAAATTTTTTTGGTGGGAAATTTGATTGTTTAGAGCCTCAACTCTATATAAACTTTTTCTTTCTATAAATGCCTCATGCTCGAGACTCTCGTCTAATTTTCAATGCTAAACCTTAATGTCCTATATGGAAAAGCACAAGGGATTAAATATAGTGAAACCATTTACCTTTGGTATAGGGAGGTCACAATTACTTGCAACCATCCGATGTGAAATTTGATGGCTTGGGTGTATTACAAAATTCGAAAAAATTTCTTTTTAACTTTGAGCTTGGTCAATGAAATAAATGATGCTACCTAATTTTACATTCAATGGTCAATATTAATTGTGACCATCTTGTACCAAAGGTAAATGGTCTCATTATATACTTCCCCAAAACAAAACTTAAGCCTCAAGTCACCTAAAATCTTATTTCTCCAGTTGTCCACACATTGTTCGAAACTACTACTCGGCCAAGAGGGCCGAGTAATCTATCCCATGCTCTAGGTGAGTACTTGACCCAAGTCTGAGTAACTCGGCTTGAGTACGGTCGAGTACTATAGCACAAAAAAAGTTAAAAAAAATAAAGACAAAATATATATAAAAAAAAGAAAAATATTTAAAGTAAAATTAAACAAAACACATCTAAATGTGGTTAAAAAAGTAGTGAAAAATAGATTTAAAGAAATCAGTTTGTGACCATGGTACTTTGAAATTTTATAAAAAAAGCATAAGTATTCATAGCTAAAATATTTTCCAATCTCTATCAAAATGATAGAAAATAAAAAAATATTACAAATAGATTTCTTATTTTTTGGATTTTTTTTATAATTATTTGAATTTCTTTTAATATCCTCTAGTTGGACCCTCAACTTGGGCTCGACTACTGTTGGGGCCCAAGTAACTTAGGCAAATCCAATTTGACTCGATCAATTTTTCAAACACGGCTTTCATGTACACATGGGATAGAGACGAGTAGATAAAGTAAAGGAAAAAGTTTATAGAAGGTGCCAACCTTGTACCACCGAAATGAGGTAGATGCCAAAAACCATCGAAGAATATTGTTTTGTCACTAAAAAATTCTTCGATTGTTCATCTTGATCTCCACAAGTATTGGATACGAAAGAAAAGTGAATTTTAAGTTTTGGAAATAGTACATCTTGTAATACATTATCTTGACCATCATTTTTTAAGATTTTCAAGTATTCATAGATATGATAGATCTACACCTTTATTAGAACTTTCAATTTCATACTAAAGGTGAAAAATAGACTCTTAGATCATGATAAGAGTTTTGGCACCGAAAATACATATTTTTATGAGATTTTGAGGTGCACCGTACTACCGCAATGTGTTTGTTTAAGGTTGTTGCCTTACAGAAACCTCACCCTAAACCAAAACAATAAAATGGTGATCCCCTCAACCTCCACAAATATAACAAGATATTCTATTGTACGTGGACACATAACTAAATTTATTTCTATTAATTTTTTAAAGAAAAAGTTTATATAAGGTTGCAACCTTAAAATGTAGAATTAATGTGCACTTCTAAAATCCATTATAAAAGGTTATTTTGATATTGAAAAATCCTCTAATTGATCAATTCGACATCAAGGTATATGAATATGAAAAGAAAAAAAAAGTTATGAGTCTTAAAATAGTGTATCTTGCAACATACCATCTGGACTATCCAATTTCAAGATTTCCAAATGTTTATAAATGTACTTGATTTGAATCATTTTTGGAGTTTAAGATTTCGTGATTAGAGATGAAAATAGATTATCAAACCATCCTAATAAATCTTTATACCAAAATTATATTTATGACAAAATTTGAATGTGCGTTTTAATTTGATTGTTTAATATTGCAACCTTATACAAACCACACCCATTTTTCAAATAACAAAAATAATTCTAACATATTATTATTTCTAAGTTGGTCCTAGAGACCAAAACTAGCCTTTTGCGGGTCACCCCACTAGCCTGGCTCCTTTGACGTGTGTAAGAGTCGGCAATGACTAGGACCAAGAATAGGGGTGGCAACGGGTCTGAAGCTATCGGACATTGACCTGACTGGATATTTAGATATGTCTAAATATATTTAAATATATATGTCTAAATATATTTAAATATTATGTTAGATATTTATATATATTATTTAAATATTATATCGTTTTAGTTATATTTATTTAAATATTATATATTAGATGTTATTTAAATAACAACATTGTTAAGGTCGAGTCCAAGTCGGGTCCATATGGAACGAACCCAAATAGTATTTGGGTTCAATATTTAAACGAAGACCCAACCCGTCGGGTTCAATTTTTAAACCCCGATTCGGGTCCAGATCAATTGCCACCCCTAAACAAGAACATGGCCAATTCTGATGCCCTCCCAAAACCAATTCGATGTCCATCGTTTCTCAATCCTGTTGTACGATTCTTAATGCAAAAAAAAGACAGCAATGCACATCAACTTCCCGGCCGGATGCTGGGCCACGCGTCGAACACACATGACTAGGGCAATGCCCACATCCCAAATGAAAGAAAGGCCCCTAATACTGATTGGAGGTACTTTCTTCTTTTCAAAGCCCTGCCCCCTACATTCCATCCCTCTTTACTTTTTCTTGTCCTTCATTACATGTTAAGGGCCCTATGTGCACGGTAAAAGGGTCTGTCTTGTGTATCACGTACCCATCACCATAAATTATCAGATGGCCTGCCTCGTCAAACTTCGAAACCCATGATAAAGTGGGCTTGTATACTATTGATAAAATTATAATAATTAACTTCTTTCCTCACATAATAATTATTTCCTTTTAAACAAGCTAATCATTGCAATAAATGGGTCAGTTTCTACCAATGCGTTGTCTTCATTGCTTGCTAAGTCGTCTTTAATGACTTTTTATTTCCCATTTATCCCACTTAAATTGTTGATTGATATTCACAATTGCAACTAACTCAGCTTGGGAAAGAGAAAGAGGTCGATGTCACGATGGTAACACATCCCATTCTTCACTTTGCACGTTGTAGCTTCCATTTTCAGTAATAGTTTAAAAAACCACTGACTAATTAAAAAACAATTTCTTCAGTGTCTTTGCAATGAAACCTAAATTTTTTTTTGGTATGCGAGCATCTAAGGAACCAAAAGCTGGTAAAGTATTTTGTGAGACCATGATCGTATCCAATTGTGGCCTAACTTCTCGCCCAACCGTAGCTAGCTATAAAAGCCTTTAAATCTATCATTTCCGCACCAAATTGGATAGAGAAAAAAAAATTGATTTCAAGCTCTAAAAATAATCAGTCTTACATCTTGTGTTGTTTTTTTTTTGGACGATCAATTTCAAGGCTTCATTAATCTATCGGATCATACCATTTTTAGAGCTTCAGATTCCACAATGGTAAAATTGGTTTTCAGGCAATCACATTGTTCTCATCGGGAGCTCGTCTTTCTACTGAGATTTGGGCTTTAGTCTCAACTGCGCTCTTATGAAATCCTCCCCCCTAAAAGCTAAACACTATTTAGCTATTTATTCGAGGCAGCTTGAAAAGAGTGAATAGTAATTTAGCATTCAGGTTAAGTTATTCGTGATGGATCATTAGAGTGTGTCGTCTGCATGTGTCATTGATATCATTTAACTATGCAAAAACTTAAACATATCAGGAAAAAAGAAATGAGGCACTATGTAAGATGAAAAAAGAAAAGCGAATTTGTTATGTTTTTTTACCTTTCTTTTTTTTTTTTTTTGACAAGAGTGCTTTAGTTTATTAAGTCAATAGTCTCATTACAAACATATTTTTTACTTTTTTTTTTTTCTTTGTTTTCTTTTTGTTGTTTTTAAAAATAACTATGGTGCTATTGACAAAAAAAAAATGTCCCTAAAGTGGGCATCATGGTTTCAATTTGTAGAGAGAGAGAGGTTTATGCTCTGAAATGTGGAAAATTGTTTCATGTGGGCTGAACCGTATGTCGTCAAGGTATAAAGCATCCATTATAAAGATGATGCAAATAGGTGGTCCATTTAAAAATAATTATAATTAACAGTCTAAATGTTTTTCAATATAATTATTATTTTTAGTTTTCAATTTTATTGTTATCATGATCTCTATATTATTAAAAATTAAGATCCAATTATCTTTAAAATATATATTTATTGCAAAGCCCGCATTAATACAATATGCGCGCGGGCGGCCGCATAGAAACCGTGTTGGCCTCCATAATTTTTCTTGACTGAAAAAGGCCTTTTTGGTCAATCACAATATTATAGTGGTCACAGATGTCAATGAAAAGGAGGCCATGCCTCTTTGTATTGGCCCCCTTAATCGTAAAATACTATCCCCCCATGCGGTTGCTGATGCATGTCTTTTCAGCCATCCAATCAACTGGGGTGCAATTTGCACTTGCCTCCATTTATCACATTCACCGTTCCTCCCTTTTCATTTTTCTCAAACCCAAACTTCCTTTCTCTGGTTTTCCCTCCTCTACTCCTTTTATAGAAACTTATAAAGAAATTCTTGCAAAACTGTGCAATGAAAAAAGCTCTTAGGAGGCCTGCTTCTCAAGGCTTTGTGTGCTTGTATGATTTTGTTTTAGGTTTTTCTATGACCCAATTTGGGAAGTATTTGAGAAATATGGTCTTAGGGTTTCTTTCATGTTTGGCTGATGGGATCGGGTTGAATTTTGGGGTTTTCCATGACCCAGTTAGGTAAGTATCAGAAAAACACTTTGCTGGAGGGTTATTATGTTTCTTGAAGGTGGATTGGGGATTCCTTCTATTCTTTTCCATGACCCAATTAAGTAAGAATTAGAAGAATAGGGTGCTAGGGTTTCTATCATGGTTTTGATGGTGGATTAGGGTTTTGTGTCATGGTTTTAGACTTTTAGCCATGACCCAATTTGGCAAAAGCAAAAAATGATGGTGCAATACAACAGGTAGGTAGCATGCATCAATGTTCTCCTTTTCCCAAAATAGAAACCCTAGAATCTTGGTGCAATTACTTCTTCATGGTGGTTATAGGATACATATCCCACACCAAGCAAGGCAAGGCCACATGGTGGTTCAAAAAAGAGAAAGGTTGGTTTAGGGTTTCTTCCTCCTCTCAAGACATGGAAACTCAAATGGTGGTTTAAGGAAACAAGGAGGAAGGTTTAGGGCTTTTTATTGGCAAATATGGAAGGTTTATCTCAACTGATGGCTTCATGCTTCTCCACGGCTTTCTTGAACTTAGTTTGAATAAGGTGAGCCTTCTTACAAGATCAAGAAAGCTGCGGAAAAACATAGATCCACTCAAAATTATGAACTTTCAACAGAGAGATAGATCTCCAAGGTAAGTTATCTAGCCATTGTGTTATATATTACAGTAATTGCTTTATTTGTGATAAATGTTTTAGTCATGGTTTGACAATAGGGTTCCACCTTTACAAAAGACACTATACCAGTTTTCACAATAATTGAAAAAAAAAAAAACAGTTTTTACATGAACAGGAGGAGAGAGTTATCAAAATAACGGTGCTTTTTTATTATAACAGTCAAGGCTATGGCTATTACAACAGTAATTGTAACATTTTTTTATAGGTCCTTTATTCTAGGGCATTTACATGGTTCTATCACAAACCTAATCTCACTTGGAATGTGGTGTCTCACTCTTCAACCAAAAGCTTGGTCATGAACCATTTTCACCCTTCACCCATGTTGCTGCTATTACAGGTGTCAATGAGCCGAGTCGAGTGGTGCCGAGCTGAGCTTACAGGTCCAAGGTTTGCGTGGGTCATGGACCAGCTTGGGCTAGACTTGGCTCGACTCGTTCACTTAAATCAAGCTCACAATGAGCCGTGACTAGGCAGAAACAAGTCTAGTACAAGCTTACAAACAAGGCAAGATACAATCTGATTGCCATATTACGGAACAATACAATTTATTGAATGGAGTTTCCTATTTTTATGTAACATATATTGTACTTTTTTCTGTATCATAAATAAAACAAATATTGTAAACACACATTGGGCCGAGCTCAAGTCGATGTTATTTCAGTTTGAGCTTGGCTTGTTTAATAATACCCTAGAATGTGCAGCTTGGCTTGGCTTGCCATATTAGTCTTCCTCAAGCTTGGCTCCTCATGAGCCGACCCGACCCAACTTAGTTTGTTGATCCTCCTGGTTACTTTTTTTTCCCTCTTTTTTTAACCACCATCAATGCAATAGAAGACTGAAATAGGAAACCAAAATATTAGTTGTCTTATTGATGTTGTTGATGCATGCTTTTCTTTTTTCCCTCTCAAATTAAACATGGTTTCTATATAGCATGATCATCCAATTTCGGAAATAGATGGTTAAGATGCTAAAGACCACGCTCATGGCGACTGTTTGTGTGCATGGATAAGCGTCGGATGTGATGAGTTGGGACTATTTTTCCAGGATAGAAGCAAATCATCTTTTACCTTGGATGAGCCCCCATGTTGGGCTTAAGCCCATCAAAATCTTATAGCTATATTCTTCTAATTGTGCACCACCAATATGTGTGCTATAGGGCACATCTCCTCCTTTGCCAATTTGAAAGACACCCTCAATCTCAAAACAGTTTAAAGTGATCTTCGATTTTCATTTCCACGACTCAAAGGAGCCTACATCAAAATACATGGATCTTTTATTCTTGAAACAGAAATGTTTAAGCCATTTGTGGATAGGAAGGAAAGATAAGAAAAAGTCTTATTTTTTATGTTAGATCTTTAAGGATCAACAAATATTTATAGGGATTGTATATTATGAGCCATTTATTTTTTATATAAAGACGTCACAATCATTTCTAATTACTGATGTGAAATCTAAAAGATGAGAGTGTGTCACAACATCCAAGTAATTTTATTTTAGATTTTGTACCCAAACAATGATACATCCTCAATCACCCGTTTCAAATCTAACGGTCAGATTTCCTTGTATCAAAAGTAAATGGTCACGTTATATACATTTTCATGATTTCTATCATTCTAGTCAGCTTTTGCAAAGTATTTGCTTTGGAAAAAACAATATTAAGGAAGAAATGATGGTGAATTGGTAAGGAATCAAGATACATATGATAAAAAGGAAAGAGGGTGGAGAAAAGACAATAAAGGAGAGGATTCTGTGAAGCACAAAGGTGAAGCGGTTTAAGAAGGCCACAGAAAGGGAAGTGAGGATAGGGTTTGAGTGAAGCCGATGGTCCCAACTAGCACCAAAAAGGAGAGGCATGCATGGCTTTTATTATTCCAAGCCATGGATCAAGATGAGATCTTTCCTATTGAGTGGTGGCCACAAAGGTCAAATATGAGGGCCACGGAATGGGCCCTCCTAAGTGCCTTGTATTTTTCTTATACAAATCATTAACCTTTGTACTCATGATGGCTCCGCGATTCCGATTTAGATGAATGTTTTAGGTTATTTAGGAAGAGAATACCCTTGTAAGTCAAGACAAAAAAATTTAAGTTTAAGGTTGGTTTGACAATGGGAGGGTTAGACCAACCTTAGCTCCAAGAACTTTTCCCAAGGACAAACTTGCCTTAATTTTTTTTTATTTTATTGAGATGGTATTCTCATCTAAAATAACTTAAAGAATCCAATAATGGGGTTGATGCAAAGGAAAACAATAACAAGGTTCATGATGATAACTTAAAGAATCCAATCAGGGGGTTGATTCAAAGGAAAACAAGGTTAATGATATGAATGAAAAAACACCAGAATTTTCTGTGTAAAACATTCAAGATAAGGGGATTTATCTAAATTTTGATATCCAGGCTCTAGTTAGTATTAGGAATAAGAAGCTCAAAAAATTAGGCTTAGTTGCAACTTCTAGAGTGCAATTTCTCACCTGTTCTTTGGAAGATCCTCCTCTAAATGATAGGGTAAGATGATGGCATTTTTGTAAGATAAATTCTTCGCATATTCACATAGATTTATTCCTAGGGAAACCGCAATTTAATGAAAAAGCTCTCTCTAAATTTGAGGATGCTTACTATTTCCTTATTTTGTTGGTAAGATGGTAATGAGCTCCCCTAATGTGCGTTTATTTGTACGCATGCACATTATACATAGTGAGAAACTGACCATGATAAGTGTATTTTTTAATTTCAATTTTGTCTTTGGTAAATATGCCGCTTTCTCTATGTAATTATAATCCCAACTAACCTCTTAAGTCTATGAAAAGCCCATGAGCCTCATCTAATTTTTTTTTTTTTAAAAAAAAACCTCTTCCAATTCTTTTTTTAAAAAATTAATGACATTTAACCCCCCGTTACTTTTTTCAAATTTCAAATTACAACATTTGCACAATTCAAAATTACAACATTTGCCCATTTTTCTTTTGATAACCTCATCTTTTAAATGGAATTTGCGAGCTCTCTTTTCAAGTACTTGTGAGGCTTACGAGATTGGAGAGAGATGGGGGCTCAAGGAAGGTTGAGAACAGAGATGGACGAAGAGGTTCACAGGTGAGAAAGAGTGAGAGAGATGGAGAGCTTTTATAGGGTTTGGATGACAAGGTCATAAGGGGAAAAAAAGGATAAATCTTGTAAATTCAATAATAAAAGGAGAATAATGTTATTTCTTTTAGCTTGGAAGGGGTTTATGAGCTTTCTATATCATTAGAGTTTATTAGGATTGCAATTATATAGAGAGGGCTATATTTCTTTGGAAAAAGTTTTTATATGGTTGCTACGTTAAAATGTAGAATTAAAGATGCACCTTAAAAATTCATCAGAAATTACTATTTTAATGTTGAAAAACCCATTAATTGATCATCTCAACATCGAGATGTATGAATATGAAAGAAAAATATATATTTTGATTCTAAAAAATAGTGCATCTTGCCACACATTATCTAGACCGTCCATTTTCAAGATTTTAATATGTTTATAGATATACTTGATTTTAACCATTTTTGGAGTTTAAAATTTTATAAAAATACATTTTAAGATAATCCTAAGAATTTTTTATACCAAAAGTACATATTATGATAAAATTTGGAGGTGCGCCTTAATTGGATTATTTAAGTTATTGTCTTTTTATCTTCTTGATAATTAATTTATTACATATTTTTTCTATATGGTTTTGAAATGTTGCTAACTATTCGTTAAACACGTTTTTCTTATTTCTTCTATTATCCGTTCTATGGGTAATCCATTTATCCCCCTTCCACCCTTTAATCCGCTGTCTTTATCTTGCCATTGCAGTCTCTCTCCGCCTGCCCTGAATGATTAAATTAGGGCACACCTCAAATATTGCTATTTCTAATTTTGCTATCATTAAATTTTTTGAGGGTGCATTTCATTTTCTTTTTTAATTTTGGTACTTTCCTTTCTATTTTGTGCAACACATGCAACTTCAATGTTGTCTATTAAAAAAAAAAAATCTAAATTTGAAGATGGAAAATGTTTATGTAGAGTTGAGGCTCTAAATAATCAAATTATAGCCCACCTCAAAAATTTCACTAGAAGAGGTTGTTTTGATGTCCAAATATCCTCAAATTGATCATCTTGACATTAAGATGCATGGACATAAGAAAAAAAATAGATTTCAAGTTCTGGAAATATTGCATCTTGTAATGCATATTTTGGGCCGCCAATTTTCAAGATTTTCATAGCTCTGATCGATCTACACTATTTTTTAATCTTTAAATTTTATAACTAAAGATAAAAATATATTTTAAGGCTATTACAAAGATTTCCAGTATTGAAACCACATTTCTCGACACTATTTGAAGGTGCACTTTCCTTTCTATTTTGTGCAACACATGCAACTTCAATGTTGTCTATTAAAAAAAAAAAATCTAAATTTGAAGATGGAAAATGTTTATGTAGAGTTGAGGCTCTAAATAATCAAATTATAGCCCACCTCAAAAATTTCACTAGAAGAGGTTGTTTTGATGTCCAAATATCCTCAAATTGATCATCTTGACATTAAGATGCATGGACATAAGAAAAAAAATAGATTTCAAGTTCTGGAAATATTGCATCTTGTAATGCATATTTTGGGCCTCCAATTTTCAAGATTTTCATAGCTCTGATCGATCTACACTATTTTTTAATATTTAAATTTTATAACTAAAGATAAAATATATTTTAAGGCTATTACAAAGATTTCCAGTATTGAAACCACATTTCTTGACACTATTTGAAGGTGCACTTTACTTTGAATGTATAGAGCCACAGCACTATACAAACCACACCCTTTAAAGAATTAGCATTTTTATTTTTCTTTATAAATAAAATTTTCAAAAATTTTAAAACTTTATTTGCACATTCATGCTTCTATATTTCGTTTATTTCTATTTTACGTTGTATTAAATGTGAAAAGATTTTCAAAATTGCGAACAAATTTACTTAAGTTGTTTACGTATTATTATTTTACCCACTAAAATACCTTTGACTAATTTTCAAGATTTTATTGCCAACTTTTTAAATGTTTGAAAATTTTATTTGTCTAAACTGAAAAAGAAAAAGGGATTGTAAATTTTATTTTTTCTAAACTGACAAAGAAAAAGGTCACAAGTAAATTTCTAATTTTACAATTACACAATTTTAATTCTCCATATTTGTTTATTACAATGCTACAATAGAAAAAAGGTTTTAAAGTATTTATATTTTTAAATTCTAAATTTTTAGTGCTTCTAAATGTCATTGATGACTCTTTGACCTATTTTCTAAATACTGCAAGTATTGTGACAGTGAGGAGCACCATTAGCTTGAGAGAGCAAACAAAGGGCTAATCAGTAAAACCCACTGCTGTTTAGGGCAAGAGTGTGGCTTTTTGTTTGGGTAATTTCCTAGATCCTGAGTCTTATGTATCAATCTCTCTTTTTCTTGTATATGAGAATTGTCTTTCATTGATTTGGATAGTTTCTAGTTTAGGTTTCAAGGTTACTTACACTTTTAAAAGGTGCATCATCTTTGAGAAGATTTTGTAGCAGACTGGTTCACAAAAATGCTTTTTAGTCATATGTTATGGAGTTAGGTGTTTTGGACCTTTAGCAGGAAAATACAATTTCTTTGGGGTCTAATTATGCCTTTTTCGTAATGAGGATTTTTCCTAAAACCCTCAAGGGCACGGTTGAATTTGGATGTATTACTATTTTAAAAAATGGATTGGTTGAAACATGGTTCGTCTGGGGATTCCCACCTACTGATCTGGATTCCAGATCGGCAAGCCTGATTATCTAAATCAACCATTGTTGAGTAAAAAAGAAAGAAATAAAAGTTATATTAAATAG